AAACAAGCTACAAACAACATCAAGGCACCAGCAGCATTCCCGTTTCCTTCATGGCTCAGACTCGTAAATCATCATCGCCATAGAACCTTTCTCGGTGGCGTAAAACCGGCAGCCTCCGAATTCACAGGCTTCTTGAAAGAAAGAAAGTCAGTACAGTTCAGTATACAACACAAGACTCTCGAAGCTGAAATTCAAGTCATCTCCAGCATACTAGCAGCCAAGTGAAGTGTATAACAAAAGCGACAGCATTCAAAGGAAACTCGCGCAGACAAGAGAGGAGACAAGTATAGAAAGTCATCTCTATGCAGAACACAAAAAAGGAAATCGTAGCAACTTGCAGCCAACAACAGCAAGATTGAGTAACACAAAAGGCAGGCGACCACAAAACCATACCATCACCGTCGTCGCACCTGGTACCTGGATGAAATTACCACGAAGATTAACTTTTTCTGGACGACCAAAACAAATGATTAACGGGAACCTATAGCAATACAAGCTTAAGGAATTACCGCGACTATAACAGTTTAGCAGTAGCAGCACCAACAAGACGAATCAACCGGCAAGGCCCACGTGGATGGAGACTTGCTCAAGTAGCTCAACTCACTTACATCTGCAGAATGCCATCACAAAATCAATTTCGGAAACATTAGAAATCAAGTGTTGTTTACAAAGAATAGAACACAAGTTTTGAAAGGAAACTAACAACGCCGATGCAGCCTGGCCCTGTTCTTCTACAGCGTGAGAAGTCCACATCGCGGGACATGTTAAACACCCTATTCTGCAGCAACTTTAGCAATAGCTTCTGGCACAAAATCAGCTACCAGTGAGAGCTTGCCTTCTTCTGTTGAAGAGAACACCAATGGTTCTACACAGGTGTCTGCTTATGCTTCAACTGAAGAACCTGTTACTCAAGTTGTGGATAGCTTGAACAATCATATGAGTGATACGCTAGATGTATTATCACGAGAGGGTCAACAACTGAGGCAAAACAAATTAGCTGGTGATAAAACTGGAATTTCAATTGCAGATGTCGCTACCGCGAAAATAAGGTGCCGGCAAAACAGAAGAGTCGCCACCTTTCGTTATTTATCCATCAGAACGGGAAAGGAAACGATCGGAAAAACCTAACGAAAAGGTATAAGACAAGGTCATCGCAACCATTGTCTGGGTTCGGGAGTCGGTTACGCAAGGGGAAGGTATTAGCACCCCTCACGTCCGTTGTACTCAACGGGATCCACGCTTGTTGTGTTTATATGACGGGTTGGTTTTACTATCTACCTATCAAGGCTGGCTTAAAAAGAAAAGAAAAATGACTCGGCAAAGCGTCGCGCTTTATGCCTACGTATTCTCATCAGAGAATGAGAAATCAGAGTCAACGTAGTTCGCCTAACTACGGGTTACGGGGAAGGTGGCTCGCTAATACATCAGTATTGTGCCTACGTACTCTCAACAGGCTTGAGAGATCAGAGCTTACGTAGTTCGGGATAATACGGATTACGGGGATTCAGATTCATCTGTTTTATCGAGTAGGGTTAACAAACAGTTCCAGCAGTTGGATGTACGCAGCTCGACCCTTGGAGACTTAGGCGTTACCGTTTGCGGTAGAACTGGGAGTTAACGACACTCTTTTCTTCAGAAAAGCTTTCCTTTGAATTGCGGGCCCACGGGGTAAAAGGTTTGAAGTTTGTTTTCTGTCTTTTACGGAAGAACTGTTTTTTTATGGATGTTTGCAACTAATATCGCACTAGAGACTATGACCTGAGAGTAAATGCGTCGCATGTCACCCAAAGGGTGCCATACTAAACATCCAGACTGTTGAAAAGAAACTCTCCAACAATCCTTTCTCAGATAACTTAAGGCTCGTAACGTACGACGTCAGTTAACCTTTATTATTGTATTTTGATTTGTTTTAAGATGAGAAGAGAGAGGGACAACTAAAGGGAGACTATCAAGTCCTACTGTTGTCATGCCAAGGATTCATCCTATGGTTGAAGTTTGAAACAGGGAACTCCTAGAAGTTATCATGCATAGGTTTCAACCTAAAGTTCTATCATCACTTCCTTATCAAAGGAAGTGAGATTCCTAGGGGATCATGTCAATGATAAACAGAAACAGATAAAGCATCAGCTTAAACAGTAAACAGATATACAGTAAACGACTGTAAAATGCATGCAATGCAAGTGAGGGAGGAAATGTGTGTGGGGCATCAGCCTCCACAAGCTCATCTCAACCTCAAGCCAGATATGAATAAACTGCAATCATACAGAGGAAATAACATGAAATCAGATGAAGGACTTATAGTACTCAAAAGAAATCTAGAAACATTCTCTACAAGTTTCATGTTGGGGTCAAGATGAGATGAGACTTGCATCTTGAGATAAGTGGTCTTGAAGTTGGACACTAAATAGGGGACTTTACACTAAGAACCCTAATTTAGTAACTTCTCACACCCTTGATTCTTCTTGACTTGATCTTGAAATGATATATTATACATCTCAACACAACATCCCATTACCATAGAGACTTGGAATTGAGTTTTAATCTCCTTCAATTTCACAGTTGACTGAGGATTAACCAGATGAAAACCCTAGATGCAACATTCTTGACTGTGGTTTCTTCCACATCACACAACAACTTGAATAAGCTCCAACATGGATCTCAAAGCACTCCATGAGCTCTCTCAACATCCCCTATCCATAGTTATGAATTCACAATCCTCTGATGATCTTCAACTGGTCTCCAAGTTAGGAGATATTCCACATACATCCATCAACTCTTTCAAAGAACATTGACCACTTCTTGGTGACTTGATGACCATTCATGCTTGAGTAACATCCCTTGCTTAGGCTCAACACTCTGAGCAACCTCCTCTTGCTATGCACAACCTCTTGATCCCCTGTTCAATGAAAAAGGATATGCAATGCAAATGCTAGAAGAAAATGAAATGAAACATAAACCAAGTTAAGAAAAGTTTGGTCAAATTTTGGGGTGCAACAGCAGCAAGTTTTGACCCCCAATCCTTTGACGAAGCTGTGCTAAATACCAATTGGAAGAAAGCCATGGATGCTGAAATTCAGTCCATCGAAAAGAATGGAACCTGGACTCTAGTTGAATTACCAAAGGGAGCAGTAAGTACAAGGGTCAAATGGGTGTATAAAACAAAATTGAATCAGCATGGTGAGTTTGACAAGTATAAGGCTCGCTTAGTAGCGAAAGGATATGCGCAACAACATGGAATTAATTATGAAGAAGTGTATGTGCCAGTGGCAAGGCTAGACACCGTGTTTATGATCTTGGCCCTTGCTGCACAAAGAAGTTGGGTTGTGTATCAGTTAGATGTGAAGTCCGCATTCTTACAAGGTGAACTTACAGAGGAGGTGTACGTTGATCAGCCAAAAGGCTATGAAGTGCAGCATGAGAAGACTAAGGTATACAAGCTACATAAAGCTTTGTACCACCTTAAACATGCATCGAGAGCTTGGTTTAGCAGGATTGAAGCACACTTCAAAAATATGGGTTTTGATAAAGAAGCAAGCGAACAAACCTTGTTCACCAAAATCAATCAACAAGGGAAGCATTTGATCGTTAGCCTATATGTTGTTGATTTGATTTATACTGGAAACGATGAAGCCATATTGAAAGAATTCAAACAATCAATGATGGATGAATTTGAAATGTCTGGTCTGGGAAGAATGCACTACTTCCTTGGCTTAGAGGTTAAGCAGCTCAATAATGGAATCTTCATCTCTCAAAAGATATATGTCGAGGAGGTCTTGAAGAAGTTTGGGATGGAGGAAAGCAACTTGGTCCTAAATCCTACTGTTCCTAGAGTTAAAATTGATAAAGATGATACAGGTGTGACGGTAAACAACTCCATGTTCAAACAACTTGTTGGTAGCTTGATATACTTGACAACTACCAGGTAGGATTTGATGTATGCATTTAGTGTAGTCAGTAGATATATGGCCAAACCAACTAAGATGCACATTATGGCAGCAAAGAGAATATTGCGGTATGTGAACGGAACTGCGTGTTTTGGGATTTTCTACCAAAGATCAGGCAATCAGGAACTTGTGGGATACACAGACAACGACTATGCCGGTTGTATCGATGATAGGAAAAGCACCTCAGGCTATGCCTTCATACTTAGCAATGTAGTTGTGGCATGGTCATTAAGGAAGCAACCTATAGTCACACTCAGCACCACATAAGCGGAATTTGTAGTTGCGTCAGCCTGTGCCTGACAACTGATTTGGATGAAGAGGGTTCTATCCAAGTTAGAGTATAATGGAAACAAAAGTCCGGTGATTTTTTGTGACAACAGTTCTACCATCAAACTCTCAAAGAACCCGGTTATGCATGGCAAGAGCAAACATATCGATATGCGCTTTCACTTCCTCCGTGATTTAGTAAATGAAGAAAAGGTTCAACTGAAGTATTGCGGCACCAAACAGCAGATAGCTGATATTTTTACTAAGGCGCTCAAGCTTGAAGTCTTTCAAGAGCTGAGGAAAAAGCTTGGTGTATGTGACATCTCATAGATAAACTAAACAGTCTAGTTTAGGAGGAGAATTGTTAGGATATTATTAATTGTTGGGTTATCATTTAATGTTATTGTTATTTGACTTAGTCTGCACTGATTGTGAGAGAATCGTACTTGCAGTTTGTTACTTTTGATTATGCCTAAATTGTAGGGACTCTAGTATTGTAGTGGCCCTACTTCCTCGCCACTACTTAGGAAGTATTCAGTTTCTTTTGTAAGCTATTTATATATTACCTTCTAATAAATATCTCAGTTATGAGATTTGTTAACAATTTTTGTAAAATCCTAAAAAATATATGAAAATTATAAACAGCTATGTTAGATGTTTGATAATTAACTTCTGCTCACAATTACATTATGTAAAACATACATACACCATTTATTCATAGCTATAGTTGTATACAAATAGTTTAAAATTTCCATATAATTTGTATCTTTCCCTCTCCTTTTATTTGATTTAAATGAATCCAAACCCAATTTTAGGAGTCATCAACCTCATTCCCCTAAAATTCATCTTGCTATAAGGTTTGAAAGGAAAATTCATATGAAGTTTTGATATAATAGTATTCTTCTTTGGAAATGTTTGAGGTGAGACACACTTTGAAGTTCTACTCAAAGGAAGATATATTGCTTTGTTTATATCTTCCACCAAATCTGTATTAGAATCAAATCTGTTTTTAGAGTTGAAAAACATCTGAAAAACTTTCAAACATGATAGATGAAGCTGTTTGGTAGATTTGGGAAAATCACTTAATCCATCAATTAGAACAAGTTCAAGAAACACTTTCTTCTTTTTCTCAATTATCTCTCTCACAAATCCAATTGAATCTTCAATTTCAAATTCAGGATTCTCCATCATGTTTACCAAAACATAATTCAATTTCCCTTCTTCCTTTTCCTTCTGCAATATCACATAAAAAACATACAAGTTAAAATAACATGAAGGGATTAGTTGCAATTTCTTAATAACTTAACTAATTTACCTGATAACTCTCGACATCATTTAATAAACGAGAAATGATCATTAATAGTTTTGTTAATGGTTCATATGGTGTTAGCCTAAGTTTCTTGGTTGGTTTCAGAAAACATGAAGACGAAAGCACCAAGATATGTGCGCCAATTGAAGTCATGCCTGTTTTGAGGTAACAATCAATGGATGGTTTGTGTCCATTTCTGCTCCACTTTGCTTCTATGAGCCATGACAGAAAAACTTCATACCACTTCACAAAAAAAAATACATTTCATAATGGTATCATATCTATAAAGTTAATGATTATAATGTATTGAAAACTATATAAATTTTGTAACACATACTAGATCTTTTAAGCTTCCTGAGATATCATCACATGTTCCTTCTTGTTGGAGATATTTTCTAGAAGCTTCACTCACAAGATCATCAAGTGCATCAAATATAACTTTGCTGTGGCTACTTAGGCCTCTACTATCCCATCTATTATTTACAAAAAATACATATATCATGATTATATACGAAATCTAAAACAATTATTAGAAACAAATTTTGATTATGTACCTTTGAACTGCTTCGGTGAGAATTTCTAGTTGATTGAGAGAACCAACACTGTCAAAGAAATCATCAGCAACTGTGATTATAATTGCAGTTTTAGCTACGAGGATTCGTACGTAAGAGTCGTAAGGGAGGGATGTTAAACTTGCAGCAACAGCAAAGTAAGAGTAAGTGCTTTTTTCTCTGCCAAATCCCATATCACTCATACCATACTTTTCAGTCCACCTACATCTCAAAATCAAATGTAATCCTTTAAAAGTTAATCGATTTAGTAGCTTAATATTTAGGTAAAACTAATTATTGGAAAATGTAATATACCTCTTAAGTTCCTTAAGCTCATTTTTGTATATCAATTGCTTAAACTCAAAGTTTAGAGTTGCAAGTTGTAGAAATTCATCATTATAGATGCATGAGACCCTGCAAATGGGAACAAATAAGTAGAATGAACTTGTAATATATTGGAATGGATTTGAATAGAGATCCATACATGCATCATGTGAGTACCTGTTATATGATGTTTTTCCTTTCCATAAAACATTAGCTTCTGTTTCTTCTATCCACACTCTTTGCTCTAAATGATCCAAGCGAGCAAACCATGAAAAACTCAACTCGTGCTCTATCTGAAACGCGAAATCATGAAAGAATTTCTATAAATATTAGGTCATCATAACATCAGCAAAAGGTTAGGATAACTATGAAATCTAAATAAGTTGACAAAGAAATTTGAATTTTAGGCAATTTGACCTGTCGCAATAAGCCTCCTTTCCCCGTCGAAACGATTTTTTGAAGTATTTTCCTTGAAAAGGTTCTAGCATCTTCGAGTTCATATTCTCCACAAAACATTAAATTTGAAGCTATGAAGACGCGAAGCATTGCACTTGAGAAGTGCTCGAAATTATTCTCAATCTCATCTTTAATTTCTTTGTAATTTAGAAACCAACAAAATCGTACTACATGCATAAGAAAATTTAGAAATTTATATAAAATTAGATTATTAGTATTAGTAATTATAATAAATTATACGCAAATTATAAATAATAAATAGTTAAATTTAAATAATTGTATGATTAATTCATTGTGTAGAGATCATACATGGTGATACTTTGAATCCATATGTTCTTAGGAGTTCAAATGCTATAATATCTTTCTGAAACTGCAAATTATTCATATTCAATGCTCTTTCTGGTGAATTCGCCTCCTTATTATAATTCCTACAATAGTACCAATCAATATAAAAATTAATGTGTTTGATAATGTCAAATTGTCGCATGGTGGTGGTGGAAGATCATAGGTAAATATTTCAACTAAAAATTAAATTAATAAATATATAAAAATATACATAGTGCATATTGACCTGAATTCTTGATGGTGCGCAAGACGAAGAAGATTAAAATGGAGAAAGAGAGAAAAGAGAGATAATTAAGATAACAAACTTTTATTACTCTTCCAAAACGCTTACACACGATTGACAATTATACTTGTTTATAGACACAAATAATAATGCCACGTAGACATCATGCTAACTTACACTAATTAGGTTAAACTTAACAAAAACTAATACTACCACTGAATATGAATCACTTCTAGCACCATCCTTTAATTTATATTCAACTAATCAAAATTAATAACACCAATTTTATCCCTTAAGTGGAGAAATTGATCAATCTTGATCGCCTTTGTCAGAACATCAGCCAGCTGCTTTTGAGGACTACATTGCACAACTTCAAACACCCCATTATCGACTTGACTTCTCAGAAAATTATACTTTGTCTCAATATGCTCGCTTCTCCCATGCAGCACTGGGTCCTTGGCAAGATTAATTGCAGACTTGTTATCAATCATCAGCTTCATAGGCTTGTTTACCATGATCTTCAGATCTTGCAGTTAATTCAGAAGCCAAACAACTTGACATGCAGGCACAACACCTACAATGTACTCAACTTCACATATTGACAAAGCAACAATTGGTTTCTTCTTGGAACACCAAGAAATAGGACCCACCCAGATACTTAAACAAAAATCCAGAAATACTTTTTCTATCAACTTTGTCTCCATACAAATCAGAGCCTGAGTAACACATCATTTCTGTCTCAACAATACTCCATACTTCAGAGTCCCCTTAATATTCCTCAGAATCCTAACACCAGCTTGCTAATGAGACCACTTCGGTATAAAATCATGAACCTACTAACCATTTCAATGGCATAATAAATGCCAGGTTTGGTATTACAGAGATACTTTAGAGAGCCAACCAACTGTTTGAAAGTTGTAGCATCTACATCATCACCCTCAATATCAGAATTCAATTTGTGATTTGTTTCTAAAGGTGTGAGAACATCCTTGCATTTCAGCAGCTAGAATCTCTTTAGAAGCTCAAGTTCATACTTCAGCTGATGCAAAATGATACCCTTCTCAGAGTACATAATCTCCATCCCTAAAAAATATGTCATATTTCCTAGATCAATCATCTCAAACTCATTCATCAGCACCTTCTTAAACTTAGCTATCTCATGTTCACAACTCACTATTAGGAGCTTGTTTTAGTCCATACAATGCTTTATGTAACATATACATCATACCTTCCTGATTCTTTTTCACAAATCCAGGAGGTTGTGACACGTATACCTCTTCTTGCAATGGACCATTCAGAAATGCAGATTTCACTTCTAAATGTATAAAAGGCCAATTCTTGTTAGCAACTATGACAATCACCAGTCTGATTGTCTCATGTATTGCTAAAGGAGCTAACACTTCAAAGTAATCTAACCCATGTTTTTATAGAAATTCTCTTGCTACTAACCTTGCTTTGTATTTTTCAATTGATCCATCTGGCTTTAGTTTCAGCTTGAAAGCCCATCTGACGCTGATGGCTTTCTTGTTCTTTTGAAGCTCATTCAACTTACAAGTCTTTTTTTCTTTCTATAGCCTCAAGTTCTTCTTTCATGGCCTTCATCCATACTTTTGATTGAGAGCTTCTTATGTACTCACTAGTTCAGATTCTACTAACATGGAACACTAAATTACTTCCCCTTTTTAGTCTATTTCAGAATCTTACAGCATGTCAAACTATGCAAAGCTCTTTGGTAGATTTTTTCATTATTTATGGCATATGAACTTGTTCAGAATCTTCTTCGAACGCTGAAACAATGTCATATGTTGGGACCCTAGAACTATCACCTTCAGAGGCATGACCATTTTCAGAGTCTGGAATATTCCCAAAGTCCGAATCTCTACCAGGGTCTAAATCACCATTAGAATGTGGACCAGAATCAGACTCACCTTCAAAGTATTCTTCAGCTTCAGAGTCACCTTGAGAATATTTCTCATCTTTAGACTCACCTTCATAACAAACTTTTGATTCTGAATCATCTTTAGAACCTTCATATTCTGAAGTATCTTCAGAAGTTAACTCAGGTGTTAACACCACACCAGAGTTAGATTGATGTCCACTCCAATACCATGCTTTTGACTCTTTCACATCTGCATCTCTGCTGAATTCAACCTTGTTAGTGATAGGACTGTAGAGCTTATAAGCACATGTACTGTTGTAACCCACAAGCAACATAACTCTGCTTCTGTCATCTAACTTTCTTCTCTTAACATCTGGAATATGTTTGTAACAAACAGACTTAAACACCTTCATATGGCTCACATTTTTCTTATCTCGAGTCCATTTCTCTAAAGGAACAATTTTCTTCAGATTCTTGGTTGGACACCTATTAAGCATATATGCTGCAGTGGCAACAGCTTATCCCCATAATGTATGAGGGAACTTCTTCTCCTTCAACATGATCCTTGTCATATCAAGAAAAGTTCGGTTTCTCTTTTCAACAAAATCATTGTATTGAGGAGTGTATGGATCAATCACCTCATGCTTAATTCAATTTTCCTCATAGAACTTTTGAACTCTGTAGAGTTATACTCACCTTCACCACTAATTCTAAGAATCTTCAGAGTCTGACCACTCTGATTCTTAGCCTTGATTCTGAATTTCTTAAATTCAGCAAACACCACGTGTTTGAACTTTATAAGGGATACCTGCGTCATTCTTGTGAAATCATCCACAAATGACACAAAGTATGTATTCCCTCCAAGTGAAGGTACTAGAAATGGTCCGTACACATCATAATACACCACACAACATGCTTTGCTCTTGGAGGCATTTTAGATGCAAATGGCAATCTTGGTTGCTTCCTTCTCACGCACAAATTACATGACTTCTCTGGCTTCTTAATTACAAGAATTCCATGTATCAACTTCTTTGAATTTAAATTCCCTAAGCTTAAGAAGTTCAAATGACCAAATCTTTTATGCCACAACTCATTTTTCTTCACAACACTTGTTGCATTAAGGTATTTCAGAGTTTGTAGTTTTAACATTCACTTTGAATGTTCTATTCCTTCATTGTTCTATCATCATAATCAACTTTCGATTATAATCATACAGCTTCAAAAGATTTTCCTTCATGGTAATTGAAAAATATTTTCTCAATTAACTGGCCTACACTCATCAGAGTGCTTTTCATGCTAGAAACATACCAGACATTTCAAATCAATGCGGTTTTACCATTATTCAGAACTACTCTGACATTTCCTATACCTTCTGTATTGTGGTATTTATCATCAACACATCTGATCTTTATCCTCTTTCTAGAGTCAAAATTAACCAGTCATTTCTTATTTCCAGTAAGGTGATTTAAGCAGGCAGTGTCCATATACCACCAGTCTGCCAAATATGCATCATCAGATTCAGAAGCCATCAATAGCACAAATTCATCATCGGAATCTTTTATTGCTACGTTTTCTAACTATGACTTCCTTTCCTTGTTTGACCAATAATTAGCAGCGAAGTGACCAACAGTAGCACTGAACCTTCCTCTTGTCGTACTTCTTATTCCCCTTCTGAGCACTCTTATGTCTTTCAGAAGTTGAAGTTTCTAACTTCTGAAAACCATCAGATCTCATCCTGGCTTCTCACCAAGACTGCTTCTGATATTTCTTACCAAAAGATACTTTTAGAGCCTAGTGCTCTACCTCTCTTTCAGAGTTTCTCTTAGTCAGACAAAACTCTTGGGCCTCTATCTCTTCAATTCTCATGGTGCTAAGATTCTTAGAATGTTCAATTGCTATCAAAATATAATCAAACTGAAGAGTAAGAGATCTAAGTACATTTTCAATGATCCTTTCATTAGAGAGATTTTCTCCATACGACTTCATCTAATTTGTGATCAGAATCACTCTAGAGATGTAGTCAGGTATATTCTCATTGTTCTTCATGTTGATATTCTCATACTTCTAACGTAGAGACTAAAGATTCACATCTTATTCACTGATGTATCACTGTCGTAGAACAGTACCAGTGTGTCCCACGAAGCCTTCGCCGTCGTCGAATCAATGATCTTTTCAAACATGTTCGCATCCACACACTGATGGATGTAGAACAACGCCTTATGATCCTTCTTCTTCAGATCATGCAGAGCATTCCTCTGTGCATCTGTTGTATTTGTCGGAAGTGCAATCGGAATGTAACATTCGTCGACAAGATCAAGAACATCTTGAGCGCCAAACAAAACATGCATCTGAATCATCCATCGATTCCAGATCTTGCCATCGAACACTGGAAGCTTAGTGCCATATTAATGCTTCTTTTCATCTTCAACCCTGTGCCAATTACTTAGATCTCACCAACACTAATGTTTCTCAATCCCGCAAAATCAAGAAATGTGATTATGTTACGATTCCGATCAAAAATTCAACACGAATTCAAGAAACAAAATCAATCACACAACGCCTTATCGTTTACTCTTGTTTTCCTGTGGATCTGAATTAGAGCTCTATATACCAATTTTTGGTACACAAGAAGATGAAGAAGATGGAGATGGAGGAAGAGAGAGAATTGAAAATAACAAACTTTCACTACTCTTCTAAGACGGTTACACAATAATTACGCCACGACTTTTTCTTCACACTATTGACAACTACATTTATTTATATACACATATAATAATGTCACGTAGACATCACGCTAACCTACATTAGTTAGTTAGGTTAAACTTTAAAAAAAAAAAAATCAATACTACTGCATAATAAGAATTCCTTCTAACAATTCTAAAATATTAATTTGACTTTAAATATTTAAATATTAATGGTTCAATAGCTATTTTAAAATTTTGATCAAATTGATACGAGTGTGTTGTCAAATATATTTGACATATTCCTGTGACAGTGGAACATTATAAGAAGATACTTGTCATCATGGTTTTAAAAAAAGTATTATTACCGCAAAAGCAACATAACAGTAGTGAAAGGTGTTATAGATATTTTTATTTGTCCTTTTTATAATGAAAAACATATTATTATTAATTCACATACAACTTGGTTCATGTGAGTCTTACCGATAAACTTGTGACAACAGTACTTCGATCTCCCCCTCAAAGTAGTGTCCCAATCCAAACCTATGTAGTTGATTAACAGTGCATAGCTTTATATGATCCTCATCCATGGGATATGCTTGTGGAACTGCAAGATACATTAAAACCTCAATTAATCTACATCTGGTAGCATCTTAATTTATATATATATATATATTAAAGCTATAATTGAAACCTGCTTTTGGACATCTTTGTGACAAGGACAGTAAATATGAGAGACATTTTTTATTTCCAGAATCCATGTATGCTTTTGCGGTAGCAGAGGGAGATTGGAACAATGAACCGTCTTGACTCAAATTTTTACATATATCTTTTTCATCAACATAACTTGAAGGCAGAGCTTCAAGATATGCCAGTAATGGAGTGTAACAATGAAAATCACCAACATCTCTCTCCCTACATATATATATTCATGCAATGATAAAGATTTTACTACAGAATTTGTTATATTATATATGATTAAATGAATAAGCGTGTAGTACTTGTTAAGAATGGCTTTGCGACGGTTAATAATGTAGGACATAGTGTCTCTTGATGAGTGTGGGAAGAGAGAATCTAAACCAACTGTATCAGCAAGTTCAATCATTGCCGGTAGAATAATAGCGATCCATCGAGGACAATCTTCTTTTACTTCATTCAGTAGCTTATCAATATTTGCATCAATAAATAACCGTCCTACAAATTTCAAATCATATTGCTTATCATGTTAATAACTCAAATAATTGTGTCAAAAAGTTTCAAATAGTATTAATAGTATATTATATGAGTTTAAGTGGAAGGAGAGAGTTATTCTGTGAATTTATGTTTTTTAATTATTATAATATTTGATATTATGTAAAATTATTTTAATCAAAGTTTATTATAATATCATTTAGAGATTAATTATTATGTATATAAGTATAAAAGATTTTACACGGTCAATTCATTATTATCATTAATTTATATTATTTTATAGGTGATTAAAATATAAGTTAAACTTTTCTTAAAATTCAACGTCTATAATTAAGTGATTGTATAAAAAAATTTATATTGACAGTGTATTTCAATTAAATTTTATTATTTATTAAAAAAATAATAACATGTTACATATGTTATAATACATATCTCCGATATTTTTTTTAAATAACTATATTTTTTAAAATAAAATTTAAAATAATCATATTTAAAAAAATATCAAACTAACAATGTTTTAAATAAAACAAATTCACTAATAAGAGGTGTAGCCAGATTCATTGGCGTACACATACAACTTTGGTACAAAATAGTCACTGTGTATGATACATATATACAACTTTTATACACATTAATCACTGTCTGTGACACATGCATACAACTTTTATGCATAGTAGTCATAGTCATTTCCTGTGACACATGCATACAACTTTTGTACACAATAGTCATAGTCAATGGCCCAAACATACAACTTTTGTATATAATAATCATTGCATGTGGCGTATGCATGCAATTTTTTTACACAGAAGCCACTGTGTTATCTTGTAATACCAACTTTTGTACATAGCAGCCAATTTTTTTACACAGAAGCCACTGTGTTATCTTGTAATACCAACTTTTGTACATAGCAGCCAGTGCGTGTGTCGCATGCTTTAGAGGATGTATGCATGTGTCATATGCAGTGCTATGATTTAGTATAAAAGTTCTATGCATGCGTCAAACTGCCAATAGATCTGACTACACAACTTGACACGATTTTTTTGTTTGCAACATAGTTAGTTTGAAAAAAATATAAATATTTTAAAATTTATTTTGAAAAATATGATGATTTTTTAGAAAAATCCATGTCTCCTCTACAATGAGTTTAACTTTTCTATTTATAATTTAATATTTATCTAGAATAGAGTTAGACACAACTCAAAAAATAATAATAATAATTAGGGGTTTATTGTTAAATTATTGAAACTCATATTTTAATTAAATTCAAAATTTATTATTATAAATTAAAATTAAATAAAAGATATTATATATATCAAAATTCTCTAAGTTGTTATATTAAATATTAAAGAAATGTTTAATCGCATTTTTATAAAACTTATTTAGATATATTTGTGGCTACTATTTAAATTTGTTCGTATCAGATTAATTTTCAATTATATTTAGAGATCATATAAGAATTTTGAGATGAATTTTTATCTTTTCGTTAAAACAATTCAATTGATAGTTGTATAAAGACATCATGTATATGAGTGTAGATTCGAATCTGCGATATCTCATTTATTCACTTTTAAAAAATAAATTTTAACCACTAGATTATTTGATAAAAAAAATTTAAAAATTGTAATTTTCATGCCAAAAAAAAATATTGTCCTAACAATAAAATGTTGAAATGAAAAGGCGACATATATTTACCTTTCTCTACCATTAATGTGCTAGTGTTCCACTTTGTGAGTGCAACCATTGAAACAATAGTTGCTGGAAGACATTCAATGTTGTCACTCTCTCCCCAAAACCCTTCTGCTTTTTGATTGCTTTGCAACCATTCTAAATAATTCTTGAACATTGGTTGTGAAGGATATTTTGAATCAGGTATCATTGCTAACCATGCTGTATCGTAAGCAGAAAAACTTACAAAAGAATATACATCAAAATTGGATGAGAATATGTTTTTCTTTATCTTTTGAACTCTACGTTCGATGCAAGATAAGGGAAGTTCCATTTCAAAGCAATGATTGTGCTCAAAGTTTTCCAATAACACAGTATTTATTATGTGTGGTTTACATACGAGTCTTTTTCAACTGTGTGTTATACGTTTGCGTCATAGAATGTGTTCACATGTAGCTTCATTGCATATGATATTTTTTTAGTTTAATTTAAAGAAAAAACATTCGAATCAATATTTTTTAATTTAATAAAAAAACATTCAAATATGATTGATTTATATAAATTCGGCGGCCGAAATATTTTGATGACTCAGTCTTATTGAATCAGTTAACTGTACTATTTTTGTTGGTTCCCTATATTGATAACAGTGGTAACTTGTCTGTATCAAGAAAAGAAATTGTATTTGATTTATACAAATTTGTTCATTTTGATGTCTCATTTTTATTATATATGATTAAATCATATTGATTGAAATAAGACTTTAACTTTTGGGTAGATTTGATAAAGGGTGAAATGTATAGGATTAGTATGATAGAGTGAGATATATACAATCAATAAAGAGTGAAATATATAGGATTAATATTTAACTTTTCATATATTTTTTCTAATATGCAAAATTTGTGTCGTATGTCGGATTTGTATTTTGGTTCTCTAGAATTACATATCGATTTTATCAAGCCTACATCATTGCACTACTGCAATTGTTTAGTGTTAGGGTTTTTGACAATTATAAATATTTTATCACTTGTTTTTTATGTTATCTTTTCTAATGGCCAGTTTAAAGTAGGTTCGTAATCGAGTGCAAAAAATTTGTCATAGAAGACTGTGGTTATATACGTAAAATGCGATGAGAATCGAACCTGAGATTTTTAATATATTAGAACGGTTATGTTATTAACTGTGATAATATATCGCACGCTTTCAAGTTTTCTACAACGGTCATAAGACCGTGATTATAAGTAGCGCATATACAACCATATCTTACGTAACAACGGCAAGTCACGCATAATGTTATTCCTTTTTCAACCGTTGTTGTATATGTTTTTTGTAGTAGCGAAATAATCTTCGATCAACTATTCACTTCCTTAAAGGTGTTGCAAAATGGCCACTATGGAGTCATCCCGAGGGATGCTCCCGTTGACGCCGGTTTGCAACTATTAAAAGCTCAAGTGTTTCCAATGAGACACTTTTCTCACCATAGTAGATATATGGGGCAGAGATAGGAGATGTATACCCCTAGAAGATCACACCCCTCCCCATGGAGATTTCCCTCTGCTCACCATCAATGGAATCCATTCACTAAACATACTATTAATGATTGTATTTGTCGTATCTTGAAAAATATGATCTCGTGAAGCATATCGCACACTCACAGATGGACTAACAGAGCCGTTTTTAGAAAAAGATTTGTTCATGACAAGTATTTTCTAAAGTTTTGATGATAACAAAGGTATTGAAAGAATAATAGTATTATCTAATGTGTGTTCTAAGTATGCAGGTTCCAAAGCTTCAGAAGAATCTATTCAGAATCTGATAAAATGACACATTTAAGAGAAGCTGAGTTATTGGCTTTTGGTGGTTCAGAACTAAAGAGCGTTCTCTAAGTGAAGTCTGATAATATAGGTTGGCGTAGACTCTGAAAGACATGCCCCCTTGAAAGACATGACCTTTTTTAGGGTTTATACTTGTTTTCATGAGTTTCTTTGACTTAATACTTGATTTTTCTTGTATGATTGATCTTGTATGAATCACTTTTGGATGTTTAACATGTTTATGTGTTTGAAAACATTTGGTTCTTTGCTTCACCATGCTTATTCTTGCCTTTGTAAATGCATGAATATGAAAACCATGCCTTGAAACTTTTTGTTGATTTGTGACATGCTTCTTGATGTTGTAACCTCTTGAACATGATCCCTTAACCTTATTTTACTTGTTTATGTGTCTTGTTAGAACCATAACATGTTTAAGGTTTGATTCTTGCCTTTGTAAATGCATGAATGTGAGTGTATGACTTGGAACTTCTCTGCGAATTCTTGTGTGTTTCTTGATGTTGTAACCTCATGAACATGATTCTCAACACCCCCTATCTTACCTTAATTTTTCATGTGTCTTATTAGAACCATAACATGTTTCGAACTGATTCTTGCTTTGAAAGATATTATGAATCATGTTTACCTTCCCTTATGTGAAGTTTGAACCCATGCTTGAACTGTTGTCACTCTTCTTACTTATCCATGATTTATTGTCATCAATATGCCTTGAAAATAATTAAATGTTTTTACATTTATCTTTGTTTGATCTATATACCATGTTTGATTCAAGTTGTAACTTGTATGCATGAGTTTTGTTTTGTTTACCATTGATGAACTTGTTGTTGGTACACATGTTTCATGCTTGCTCTTGTTGGGTTGTTATCTTCATAATCTTTGAATATTGCCATGATAAAGATTTCTTAGTTGTTACCATGATCTTCATATCTTCATCATATTTGAATGAATACATATGTGTGTTGTTGTTAAGTTTCTCCAAGTGATAGAACTTGTTAGTTCTCATCCAATTGCCTTGTTATTCCCTTATTCCAAAGGAAAGTTTCTCTATTGACTTCACTTTCATAGATAGCTCATTACCCTTCCCTTTGACTTGGTTAAGTCATTAGGTCCTTTAACTTAGTTAAGTTTGAACCTATATCCATTAGACTTTGCTTTAAGTCTAAAGACCTACCCCTTGTTAGGAGTATCCTTCAATTAGAACTTTAAGATAGAGTTTGTTGACTCTATGTAAGGATCATTGTCATGATTACTTACTCCCCTCTTGGCTTTTGTCAAAGTCAATCCCCTTGAGTGTTAAACTTTGACCTAGATATTTTTTCAAACTCTATACAAACATTGTTATGTTTGTTTCCCCTTGGAATCTTGACCATAGTCAAGTATTCTTCAAACTTAGTGAGGTGAACTACGGTTGCTCTAATTCCATCCTAGTCAGGATATCCAGGCATAAGATGTGATATCTTTGCGAGAAAACTTAGATCTATCCTTAGGTTTTTTTACCTTAACCCTGATCCCATAACCTTTGCAAACAATCACTTAGATAACTTAGCATACACACACAAAAGGTTCCTGTATAGTACTACAGATGTCTAGGATGTGAAATACCTACCCTAGGCATAACCAACCCCGACCCCCAAATCTTTAGCATTGTTATTACATCGCGCAAAAGGTTTTTCTTTCTTTAATCTTTCCTTTGGATAAATCAAAGCTCGGTGGTGAATTTAAATGAATTAAGATCCAAGTTAATCAATTGATTGACATCTAATTCTCACTACAACACCAATGCTATGCACAAATGATGATGCAAATGAAATAAATCATAAGCCAAGAGATTAAGAAAAAGATAAGGCAAATTTTTGGGTGTTACAATCACGACTCAAGTTTGTACAAGTAGGCATGGGTGTGTCAGTCGTTTTGGAGTTGGCCATGTTGAAACGCTTGAGAAGCTCAAGGCAATATTTCGTCTGGCTCACAAATGTTCCTTCTTCGAGCTTCTTGATTTGCAATCTGAGGAAATAGTTTAGCTCCCCCATCATGCTCATCTAGAACTCTCCCTCCATCAATTTAGAAAACTCCTTGACCAGATTAAATATAGTAGATCCGAATATGATATTGTCGCTTGCGCGAAAATAAGGTGTCGGCATGACAGAAGAGTCGCCACCTTTCGTTATTTATCCCTCAGAGCGGGAAAGGAAACGATCGGAAAAACCTGACGAATAAGGGTAAGACAGGGTCATCGCAACCATTGTCTGGGTTCGGGAGTCGGTTACGCAAGGGGAAGGTATTAGCACCCCTCACGTTCGTCGTACTCGACGGGATCCTCGCTTGTTTGTTTACTTGGACGGGTTGGTTATAATCTATCTACCTATCAAGGCTGGCTGAAAAAGAAAAGAAAAATGACTCGGCAAAGCGTCGCGCTTTATGCCTACGTATTCCCGTCTGGAACGAGAAATCAGAGTCAACGTAGTTCGGCTAACTACGGGGGAAAGGAAAGGTTGCTCGCTAGGACGTCGCATCCTATGCCTACGTACTTTCATCTGGTATGAAAGATCAGAGCAAACGTAGTTCGGGAAACTACGGACTACAATGGCTCAACTAGGAGGGAGACTATCAAATCCTACTGTTATCATGCCATGGATTCATCCTATGGTTGAGGTTTGAACAGGGAACTCCTAGAGGTTGTCATGCATAGGTTTCAACCTAAAAGTCTATCATCAAATCCTTATCAAAGGAAATGAGAGTCCTAAGGGATCATGTCAATGATACACCAAAACAGACAAAAGCATCAGCTTTAACAGTAAAATGCATGCAATGCAAGTGAGGGAGGAAATGTGTGTGGGGTTTCAGCCTCCACAAGCTCATCTCGACCTCAAGCCAGTCATGAAATAACAGTAATCATACTGAAAATAAACCACATGCTATCAAGCAATGAACAGGTAAAAGAAATGAAGTGCCATCAGGCAAACAAAACACACTTGAGAAAGAATCAACTATTCTCTAATCCTAACCCTAATCACAGAATCTAAACCAACTCTAAGCAAAGCTCTCAAGCAAAACCCTAAACAAGAGAAATCAATCCCAGTCTTCAAGCTTCAGAACAAGCTTACCAAAGAAACGGAGCTAAGCAAGCAGACTCATAGTGTCTTCCTCAGGAAAGCACTAGGAGGTGTATACTCAGGAGTCATACCCTATGTGGCTCAACCACTGTGATCAGTTTACATTCCTCCTCAGGAGGAACTAAACTCACAAGCAGGCTCCAACATCACTGGATATTTAGGAAGTCCTATCTGAACTAGTGGAACTAAATGAATAGACCCATAGGACCTTCCTCAGGAAAGTACTAGGAGGCTTCCACTTAGGAGTTGTATCCCATGTGGCTCAACAACATGTGATCAGTTTACATTCCTCCTCAGGAGAAATTAAACTCACAAGTTGGCTCCAACATCATTGGATACTTAAGAAATCCTAGATAAACTAAGGGAACTAAGTGAATAGACCCATAGGACCT